TTGAAATCTGAGAAATCTCTCAGATTGAAATCTCTTATGCAAATAAACATGTTTTGAAATTTTTGAAAGTCACTTTTACTTGTCTTTTCATTTTGATGGCAGTTGCTCACTATGTTGCTCAGGCTGGTCTTGAACTCCTAGCCTGAAGCGATGCTCCCACCTCAGCCTCTGAAAGTGGTAGGATTGCAGTGTGAGCCACCGTGCCTGGTGTAGAGATTTAGTTTAAAGTGCTGATGAGTATTTTGTTAAACCTTTCTTTTTATGCATATCTGCAACTGACTCTTCTTTAATGAATGTGGCTCGCCAATATTTCAAACCAAACTTTTTACTTCCATGTTGTATATGGTGATATTCTAATTCTACCATTCCATCTTCATTTATTAGTTGGGACATTTCTATAAAAAGAAACTCACCTACTCTTTGGTTACTCAGTGGTTCAGTTCACATAGAAAAGACAGGAAAATGCTTGATCCTCTCCTTTTATTTATTATTAATAGTTTTCAAAATAATGAGTTGGTTCCTCCAAAAGTGGCCATTAGTATTTTTACGAACCTGTGGAATTAAAGATATTTGTTTAATGTTCCATCTATTGCAGTTATTATTTACACTCAAAGTGCCCCATCTCTAGCCTGTGGGAGGGCTTTCTGTTGACTCCTGTGTTCTCCCCACCTTAGCAATCTTTGAGAGCTTATGGCAACTGTTAAAAGAAAAACTTCAGACAAAATAAATTTCATAGAGTTTATCTGAGCAAAGACTGATTCATGAAACAGGCAGCACTCAAAACCATAAGAGGTTCAAAGAGCTGCACTCTGCTAGCAGTATGGACAGCAAGCTTTTGTAGGCCGAACACAAAAGCAAAGTAGAGAAATTACCTGTCTGGCCACAGGTAGGTGTTTACCTTATTTGGGTATGGTGTGATGGGAAGTCCCTAGTTATACAACCAGTTGGCTGGTTGGCTATTTATGATTGACTGAGGTTGTTTTTGTTTTGTCTTGTTTCTATGTTCATTACAAGATACACCTCCAAGTTAAGCTTTGGTTTGCTTACATAAGAGCTCCGGGTACAGGGACAACCTCAGGCTAATGGCCTTCTTCTTACTCGCTTTAACACTTGCTACTTTCTGGTTCGACAAGAGGATTCAAGCTCATCTTGTATATTCTGTCTCGAACCTGGGAGACTATGTTTTTAAAGGGTAATGAATCTGCAGTTATTAAGGAAACTCACCTAAAACGTTAGACGCTTCAACATCTAGTCCAATGCTCAGTGCAGAGTAAGTTGTTAATAAATGTTAGTTGATTGAATAAATTAATGATTATCACTTTCACTAGATTTTAAATATCGTGAGGTCCGAGACCATACATATACTTCCTTTTTAAAAATTTTTATTGTAAATTGACAAATTATGCTTGTATATATTTATGGGGTATAAAGTGGTGTTATAATTTAGGAGTACAACATGGAATAATTAAATGAAGCTAATTAACTTATTCATTACCTCAAATACTTATCTTTTTTTGCATTGAGAACATTCGAAATTTACTCTCTTAGCAATTTTGAAATGTGTGATGTACTATTGTTTACTATATTCAGCTTGCTGTGCGATAGCTCTCAAAAAACCCCAGTTTACTCCTCCTGTCCAACTGAGGCTTTGTACACGTGGCAGCATCTTCCCATTCCCTGTACCCTCCAGTCTCTGTAATCACCATTCTGTTCTCTGTTTCTATGTGTTTGAGTGTTTTAGATTCCACATGTAAGTGAGAACACACATTATTTGTCTTTCTGTGCCTGGCTTATTTCACTAGCATGTTTTCCAATTCCACCCAAGTTGTCACAAATGACAGAATTTCTTCTTTTTTTTAATGGCTAAATGGTATTCCATTGTATATATTAATATGTGCCACGTTTTCTGTACCCATTCATCCACTGATGGACACATAGGTTGATTCTGTAACGTGGCTACTGTGAACCATGCTGCAATACACATAGGAGGACAGGCATCTCTCTGACATACTGATTTCAAATCTTTTGGGTAACCCAGGAGTGGGATTGCTGGATTATATAGTAATCCTATTTTTAGTGTTTTGAGGAATCTCCATACAGTTTTCCATAATGACTGTGCTGATTTATATTCCCACCAACAGTGTTTAAGAGTTCCCTTTTCTCTACTTCCTTGCCAACATGTTTCCTCTTTTGTCTTTTTGGTAATATCCATTCTGACAGGTGTGAGATGAATCACATTGTGATTTTAATTTGTACTTTCCCAGTGATTAGTGATGTTGAGCATTTTTTCATATACCTATTGGCCATTTGTATGTCTTTTTTTGAGAGATGTCTATTCAGGTCCTTTGCCCATTTTTTAATCTGGTTATTTGTTTTCTTTCTATAGAATTGTTTGAATTCCTTATATGTTTTGGATATTAGCCTCTTATCAGATGTCTGGCTTGCAAATATTTTCTCCCAATATGTAGGTTGTCTCTTCCCTCTGTTAATCATTTCCTTTGCTGTGCAGAAACTTTTTATTTTGATGTAATCTCCCTTATCTATTTTTGCTTTTGTTGTACTTTTGAGATTGAATCCAAAAATATCATCACCCAGACCAATGCTGTGTAGTTTTTCCCCTATGTTTTCTTTTAATAGTTTTACAGTTTCAGATCTTATGTTTAAATCTTTAATCCATTTGGAGTTGGTTTTTGTATACGGTGTGAGTTAAGGTCCAGTTTCTTTCTTCTGCATATTGATATCCAGTTTTCCCCACATCACTTATTGAAGAGACTGTTCTTTTCTCATCGTGTATTATTGACACCTTTGTCAAAAATCAATTGACCATGCATGCATGGATTCATTCATTTCTAGGCTCTCTACTCAGTTCCATTAGTTGATGTGTCTATTTTTATGCCACTGTCATGCTGGTTTTATTTTTATTTATTTATTTTTTGAGACAGAGTCTCACTCTCTTGCCTGGGCTAGAGTGCTGTGGCATCAGCCTAGCTCACAGCAACCTCAAACTCCTGGGCTCAAGCAATCCTGCTGCCTCAGCCTCCCGAGTAGCTGGGACTACAGGCATGTACCACCATGCCCGGCTGATTTTTTTTCTATATATATTAGTCGGCCAATTAATTTCTTTCTATTTATAGTAGAGACAGGGGTCTCTCTCTTGCTCAGGCTGGTTTCGAACTCCTGACCTTGAGCAATCCACCTGCCTCGGCCTCCCAGAGTGCTAGGATTACAGGCGTGAGCCACCGCACCCAGCCCAGCCCAGCCCATCCTCTCTGCTCTTAACTACCAAGCTGTTTCCTACAGAAAATAATAATATTAATAACTGAGCACCTGCTAACCATAAGGTGCTAGAGGTATCAGATACTATGTACAAGTTGCCTTCACAAATTATGCTTTTCTGGCTGTATAACTTTTATTCCCAATCGTGAAAAGCCAAATTGAAATAATTATCCCTCTATTTTCTTTCTAAAACCTAGCTTTTAGAAGGCCCAGAGACATCTTGCAACATAAGAACTCTGATCAGGTAAATGTAATTTACAGATATGAAGATAGTCTCACAGTGATTTTAAGGCATTATTACTTTTATCTTCATTAATTTGTTGATTCTTTGCACAAGACTTTAAACATCTGTCCATTTTAGGTATACGTCAGACAAGTGTTTCCCAAAGTGTGGCAGCCATCCCTCATATAGGGATACAAGATTATTTTAGGTGGCTAGCAATGACGACTATTTTGATAGAAATGTTTTCTTTGTAATACAAGAAATATAACTGGCACACAGAATCCATGATTTCATGGATAAGTTTGCTGGGGAGGCTATTCAGTGAGTATAGGTTAAAAATGTGTGTTGTTTAAAGACAGTATTAAATAAATAATAGAATTGGAGGTATATGGACAAACCAAGAGTAGTTAAGGTGGCTGTAATGGGTTGAATGATGACCTCTAAAAATATATGTCCAAATCCTAACCCCTGGTACCTGGAAATATGAAATTATTTGGAAATAGTCTTTACAGATGTAATTAAATTTAAGATCTCAAAATAAGATTATCCTGGAGTTAGGGTGTGCCCTAAATCCAATGACCAGTTTCCTCATAACAGGAGAGAAGACAGCCACACAGAGACACAGAGGGGAGACAGCCAAGCTGGGGGCGGAGGCTGGAGTTGCGCAGCGACAAGCCAAGGAACACAGGGATCGCTGGCAGTCACCAGAGGCTAGGAGGGAAGCATGGAGGGGGTTCTCCTACAGAGCCTCGAGAAGGAACCAACCAGGCAGATGCCTTGATTCTGGACTTCTGGCTTCCAGAGCCGTGAGAGAACAAGTGTCTGATGTTTTAAATCGAGTTTATGGTAATTTGTTATGGCTGCCACCGGAGACCAATACAGGAGCAAAGAAATAATCAAGGCTGGGAAGTGCTCCATTGGGCATTACACTGAGTCAGTGACACCCTCAGGGGATCTCCTTTAACCCTCTCCACCCACCATTTTCATCCAATATACAAAGCTGTTTTAAAAGTGAAAATAAATTTAGCAATTTAAGTTTACATTTAATAGCTACTTAGTGAAATTCCATCTCACGTCCCTATGCCTGAACCAACAGCATCATGAACCCCTGGGTTCATGAACTCACTCTTGGGAAAGGCTGATCTCCTCTTGTCCCCACCGGCACTTTACCAGATGAGGAAACTGAGGCTCAGATGGAGGCAGTGTCTCCAAGTCTCCAAGAGAGACTAAACGATGCTGTGACCACTGCCGCAGTTCCTACAGGGCTACGTTTACTCCCCCCACAACCTGCAGCAAATACTCCCACCTGCGCAGACCAGGGCCAGACGCAGGGCTATCTGGAGCCTGCAGTTCCCGGAGCGCGTCGCCAGGCGGCGGGGCGGGCGCAGGGAGAGGGGAGTTCGGAGACGGGCACGCTGCAGAGGCCGCCAGTGGCCACGAGGGGGAGCGCGCGGGAACCCCGCGAGGGGAGGGGAGGGGCGGGGCCCGCGGGCGGCGCGCATGCGTTCAAATGGAGACGGCGGCGCCCGCCCGGGCGAAGGGCGAGACGGTGGCCGACGAGGTCGGGGATGGAGCACCTGGAGCGCTGCGCGTGGTTCCTCCGGGGGACGCTGGTGCGGGCGGCCGTGCGGCGCTACCTGCCGTGGGCGCTGGTGGCCTCCATGCTGGGGGGCTCCCTCCTCAAGGAGCTGTCTCCGCTGCCCGATAGCTACCTGAGCAACAAGCGCAACGTCCTCAACGTGTGAGTGCGCCCGCGCCCCTCGCGTCCCCGCCGGGGCGGCCCGCCGCCGCCTGGTCCAGGGGAGCCGGGGGCTGGCCGCCTGGCGGACGAGTCCCTGGAAGGGGCGTCCTCCCGGTCGGGACGGCGGCGTCTGCACGCGGCCGAGGGGCCCCGGAGCAGCCGGTGTCGCCAGCGGTTCGTGTTCGCGGACCGGACAGGACAGCCTGAGCCGCCTGGGCGGGGCCGGCGGCGAGGAGCAGGGTGGTGTGGACGCCTGTGTTCGCGGGTGGGGAGTGCGGCGGCCGGGGCGCTGAGCCGGCCCAGTCGCCGCCCCCCTCTCCTTGGAGCTGGGAGTTGGCCGCTGCCCCGTTTGGGAGATGCCACCTCCCTCCTGCTTGCCGGTGTGAGGTCCCTCCCAGCTCGCGAGGGAATCCGTCACGATCTGTGGACGATCCCCCACTTTGAGAGCCTTGCCCCAACTCGCGACAGAGCCCCCACTCCCAGATGCTCACAGGGGAACGCACCCTGCGCTCTGTGACCTTTCCCTTGGATCTCTTGGTCCTTGGCCCTTCTCAGCCAAAGTGCATGGCAGTGGCCCAGAAACGCAATCCCAGCTGGGCTCTTGGAAACATCTTAATTACACCAACCCACTCCTTTTCTTTTTTCTTTCTTTCTTCTTATATATATATTTTTTCAAAAAAGAAAAAAATCCACTTGGATTGTAAGTTTATTGCACAAAAACACAGTTGCAGTAATAAAGTGAAACTCGGAAAGATAAAACTGCTCCTTTGATGTGAGCCTAATTTTTCTGTAGAATTAGTGTCTCCAGCATCTTCTGAAAGTCAGCCCAACTTTGGTTATCTAACTTATACTCTTGGTTTCTCTCCCAGGCAGCTTCATCAAATGCCTGACGGGTCTAGGCTCTGGCAATACTTTCCTTATCAGTCCCAGTGAAGGTTCTAGTGACAGGCGCCTCGGCGGTGCCTGAGAAACTGTCGGAACCTAGGAAAGAGTCCTTCTGTCCTTGGCCCACGTTCCTTCCTCACCCACCCTGAGAGGCTGGGCTAAGAATAGATTATGAAAGTGGTGGTAGCCCCAAGTCCTGGGTCAAATGTTTACTGCAGCTGGTCCCCAGGTCAGCCACCCTTCATGAGCACAGGAGGCAGACAGGGCAGCTGCTGCCGTATCTGGCCTGGGTGAGCTAGCAGCCAAGCAGCCTGGCAGACGAGTCTGTTGTTTGGGGGTAGCCATGGAGTCGGGCGTTTCCTTCCAAGCCTCTGTGCTGTTATAATTAATGGAAGGGAACTGGTAGATCATTGGTTCCCCCCAAGCTCTGTTTAACTGCTAAGGGGACCGAGGCCTGGAGAGGTGTAGTAACAAGTTAAGTCAGAGTCAGGATTTGAAGCTGAAACTTTTGGCTTGGAGTAAAGCTCTTTGTTCCAAGGCTGTTTCTGCCATTTAGGAAACAACCATGGTATGGTAGAAAAAGCGTGGGCTTTGGGGCTGGCCAAACTGTGGTTAATCTGTGCTTGTTGGTTGTATGAGTGTGACCCTGGGTAAGGTCCTGAACTGTTCTGAGCCTCAGATTCCTTGTCTATGAAGTGGGACGATGATACCTTCCTCCCAGGGTAATTGTGAGTGTTCTATGGGAAAGCGAATGTGTGTGAAAGCTCGTGACATTTAGTAGGTGCTTTCCTGGGTAAATAACATAGTGCTGGAGACCACACACCCTGGATCAGATTCCTAGCGCCACCACATACCGCCTCCACTTTGGACACGATACTTCTCTATGCCTTAGTTTTCTTGTCTATAAAATGGGGATAATAACTGTACCTACTTTGTATAGTTGTTTAAGGATTAAATAGTTAATACATTTAAAGTACTTAATAAGTGAAGCGATGTCAATGAAGAATGTGATAGTTGTTATGATCTATAGCTTTGATCAAGTTTTCTCATTTTCCCTCCCTTGGCAGGCTAGACACCTGAGTCATGACATTGTTTCTCCTCTGCCGTGTTCCATGTCTTCACTTCCACTTTCCTCCTCTGTCAGGTATTTTGTCAAACTGGCCTGGGCCTGGACATTCTGTCTCCTCCTGCCCTTCATTGCCCTCACCAACTACCACCTGACAGGCAAGGCCGGCCTGGTCCTGCGGCGGCTGAGCACCCTGCTCGTGGGCACGGCCATCTGGTATGTCTGCACGTCCCTCTTCACCAACATCGAGCACTACACGGGCAGCTGCTACCATTCACCGGCCCTGGAGGGGATCAGAAAGGAGTACCAGAGCAAGCAGCACTGCCACAGGGAAGGCGGCTTTTGGCACGGCTTTGACATCTCCGGCCACGCCTTCCTGCTGACCTTCTGTGCCCTCATGATCGTGGAGGAGATGTCTGTGCTGCATGAGGTAAAGACGGACCGGAGCCACCACCTCCACGCTGCCATCACCTCCCTGGTGGTCGCCCTGGGCGTCCTGACTTGCATTTGGGTGTTGATGTTTCTGTGCACGGCCATTTATTTCCACAACTTGTCCCAGAAAGCGTTTGGCACCTTTTTTGGTTTGCTGAGCTGGTATGGCACGTACGGGTTTTGGTACCTGAAATCCTTTTCCCCAGGACTTCCTCCCCAGAGCTCCGGTTTGAATTTGAAGCAAGACAGTTACAAGAAATAAAAGAGCAACAGAAGGGGGGACAGCAGGACAGTGGCGATATATTTTTCATTTGTTTTGCTTAGTTATTTGGCTAAATTATTGATCCTATATCAGAGAGGAAGGTTCGTGGGCGGTTCGGGTGGGTGGTGGTGGAGTCTAGGGATTGACTTTAGTCCTCAGGCTATTCTTGGTGACGTCACTTGTCACCTGTGTCACAATCACCACCGTTCCTGGTCAGGCACATTTTGTCCTGCTAAGACTTGGCCTTAATCTGGAACACCCCTTTGTCCCTAGAGGGGAGAGCAAAAGGACAGGATCAGGAAAGCCCTGTTGTGTGGCTGAGGGGGAGGCAGGGGCCTTAGGACTCTGCTCCGTCTCCCCGACTCCAGTTGCCCTTTGATTTTAATGGCTGCGAATGCTGTTAATTGACAGCATTTCCCTCGGGCCGATTTTGCTTGAGCATTTATTTCTGGCAGGGTTCTTTATAAAGCACCCAATGCCTGAAAGACACTCTCTTGTTGTAGTATTTGTTTCATTCGTGGAATGTTCTATATCGATCGCAACTGGCTCGTGGTAAGCCACCAAAACAGGCCCGTGAAACTGCAGTGGCTCTGCAGCAAGTGTTGGATGATTGTTATGGAGTGAACAATGACATTTTCTGTCTGTGTTGTCTGTTATTATTTGTTGGTTTTTGGAGCAATAAGGAAATCCTTTTTATTCTATTTTGAGTGAATACTTTATAGTTTTAATGACAACTATGGCATTTGTTCTTTGTTGACAAAACTCCTGAAAGTAGCTGACAACTCCAGCGCTGCACTTTGGTACACGTAGATTGTTTTGAGGGTTTTTTTTTTTTTTTGAACACTAATTTACTTTTTATAAACCAAACTCTGGGCTTATAGTATTAAATTCCACCTCATGGGGCTGTTTTCTCTGTTAAGAATAAAACCAGAAAGCAGACATTTTAAATAAAAACCTGATGAATTTTAGGCTGAGTCAAAGTAATTTTGCAAAATACATATTTTCACTGAAACTTTGCTGACCACAGAGCAGTGATACAGACTGAACAGTGTCTTGGGATCACGTGCTGGGTGCATTGATCACTCTGCTGTGGCCCAGAGCATTTTTACCTTTTGGACGAGATTATGATAATTCAGAAGTGAAGTATTATAAAATGCCTCCGTCTGGTGGCAAAAAGCCAACCTGTTTCAAAATCCTTATTAGATGGTGGCATGACTTTGGCCCCGCCCTCCTTTTTTTTTTTTTTTAATTTTTTATTTTAGCCGAGGCCTCGTGGACCCACCCCCCTTTTACTTGTGTCGCCAACCAAATCAAACCTGGGCCTGCTCATCTGGCCTTGAAATCAGTTGACCTTTCCTTTCCCCTTTGCACACTCCTCAGTTTCCAACCTTGTCACTCTGTGGCCTCCACTGTGAGAGTGCTGGGAAGGGTTAGAAATCCTGTCACCGGCCTCCCACGAAGGCACGGTTCCATACTCTTTTTTTGGGCCGGCCCTTCCCTTTTCCCCGGCCTTTTCTTTTAGGTTGTTTGGTTTCTTTTTTAAGGCCCTTTGGCGCCCCTCTCCCCAGTCAAGCCTGGTGATAGCAGTACTGATAAGCACTGATTCAAGCTTAGGTTGTTAGGAGTTTGAGGGTAAATTTTCAGGATACTTTTATTAATATAAAGATATATTTAAAATATTTTGTATCCAGTTGAGCAGGTTAACTTCATCAATCAAAAGGCGAGGCATGATACGTTGTACCCAAAAGGGACAGAAACATAGGCAATGCACTAGCAGAGGTGTCCCCATGGTGCTTTGGAAGCATTGGCAAGATGTGATGTGTCCAGTGAGGGAGGATTTTTTGCCACCTGGAGTTCACATCCATAAACCAGGGGTGGGAGTCGGGGGGTGGGGGGCAGATGGCAGGGGCTTGCAGAAGGGATTGCAATCTCTTCTAAGTTTCATGTTCAGCACCAAAAGGCAACAGGCACAGGGTGACTCCAGAAGTTCTCTGTCACACTTAAATCCCCAGACATTCTTCTCTTGTGGGTCTGACTCAGGCTCAGCCCTGAACTCACGCCACGTGGCAAGTGTCCATTGCCGAGCGTCCTGCTCGTGCTCGGCGCCTTGTCTGTTCCTGGAAGCATGCTCTCTGTCCCTGCACGCGCAAGACGGCGCGGCGTAAGTGGAAGACTCTGGACTCAGGCAAACGTGAGATGCGGGTTCTGGCACCACTCCTGGTATCTGTATGGGCAAGGCAATTGGTCCTACGTTTTCCTCATCTGTAAAGCGGAGATGATTCTGTTAGGATCAAGGAGGATGTGTGTGAAATGCCCAGCACACGTGCTTAGCAGGTGATAACCAGCCTGCCTCTCTTTTATAGACTAAGGCCTTTAGAACTTTCTGGCTCCTCTAGGGAAGGCAGAGAACCTAACATCTTCTGGGTGCCATCTGGAGTCTGGGTCTCCTGTCGTACAAAACAATAGCCTTGTATTGATCGTTTTGAAAAGTGTTGCCCCGGTGCTGAATGAGAGACTCTGGGGGCTCTGATCACGGAGGACAGCCACGCTGCTTTCGCCTCTCCTTGTGGAGGTTCATTCACTGAAGCCGAATTTTCCACGTGCATCTGTCATAGTCTGGGTACCAGATTGTATTTAGAGAATGGCTCTTGCCACCGTTATATACACACAGATCGTGTGTGTAAACAAGCAAATTAAAGTAAACTGGAGATAATGAAATCCCACATCCCAGCATTTCGTGTGTTCCTTTCTACTATCGCTTAAGGAAGTCCAGAGCCCAGTAAACCTCAGCCTGCTTCATGAAAGTCGGTAATTCTTTCCGAAGGTACTCGTTGTATATAGGATATTTCGTGGCTTTGGTTATTCCTCTTTTATCCTGTAAGTCCTGTAAAATAAGTATATGTTCAGTTATATATTTCTTTTCTTTTTTTTTTTTGTTTTTGTTTTTTTTTTGAGACTGAGTCTCACTCTCTTGACCGGGCTAGGGTGCCGCGGCATCAGCCTAGCTCACAGCAACCTCAAACTCCTGGGTTCAAGCGATCCTTCTGCCTCAGCTTCCTGAGCATGCACCACCAAACCTGGCTATTTTTTCTATATATTTTTTGTTGGCCAATTAATTTCTTTCTATTTTTAGTAGAGACAGGGGTCTCGCTTTTGCTCAGGCTGATTTCAAACTCCCGACCTTACGTGATCCACCCGCCTCGGCCTCCCATAGTGCTAGGATTACAGGCGTGAGCCTCCGCACCTAGCCTATATTTCTTAGTTTGTCCTACTCCTTCCCTCCATACCACTTTCGTGTCTTACAGTACTGAGGTCTAGATCAGCCAGACTTGGGAGCAGTCCTCTTGGCAGAAGGAGCAGAGGCAGACCTCATGGAAGGAGCGCTGGGTGAGGTCGTCTTTGCAACTGCTTTGTAGCCCTGGAGGCCTTTATGCACCCGGGAGCTTCTTATGCCTTTTAGTACCCACTCATTTGCCAGCCTGACCTGCTTGGCACCTCCAGAAAGTGTCTGTCTTGCAGCTCCATGGCTGCAAGATTAGAATTTCCTCACACTGCAGAAATTCCCTGTTCAGATTCCTTTGGCAGCAACAAATCCTCCTTGAGCTCACACTGGGAGCCGGGACTGGGTAGAATGATAACCACCCTTCTTCACAGAGTGTGGTCCAGAGGCCACCCCTTTGTAGCTTAAACTATGTGCTGGGCTTGCAAAGATGAATCTGGTGCATCTCTGCATTTGAGGAGTTTTTACTCTTGTGCAGAAGCACCAGTTCCACCATCAAGTGTTCTGAGTGCCGGGGCAAGGCCAGGGCCTGGGAACGTAGAGCAGGAACAACCAGCTGCCCTGGAGACTTGGCGAATATTTTCACAGAAGGTCACAATTGTCTTGGGTCCTGAAGGATGAGGAGAGTTCAAGCAGTTGGGCAGAGAGGGGCATCCAGGGCAGTGGGGACAGCACGCGCAAAGGCACGTGGAAATGTTACCATGACTTTTATCCAGATATCCCTTTTTAAGAAACCTAGCTTTCCCGTCATTTTCAAAAGCAACTGAGATTGGGAGAAAGACAGACTTAAAGGACTGTCAGCAGAGATCAATGAAGTTTCCTGTTAATGCGCCAGTGTTGAGAGGGGGGACCTTTACGGGGAGATTGGGTCATGAGGGCTCTGCCCTTGTGAATGGATCAATGTCATTATTGTAGGAGTGACTTTGTATCGTGGGAATGGTGTCCTTGTAAAGGATGAGTTCGTCCCCCCGACCCCCTGGAAATCTTTTGCCCTTTTCCCTTCTGCGATGGGGTGATTTGAGAAGGCCCTCGCCAGATCCAGCTCCTTGATTTTGGACTTCCCAGCCTCCCAAACTGTAAGAAATAAATCTGTTCTTTTTAAATTACCCAGTCTGCAGTCTTCTGTTATAGCAACACAAAACAGACTAAGACACTGAAACACAAAAACACTCAGCTGGAAGTTAGAATACCTGGCTTTGAGCCGGGTTCTGCCGCCCCTTTTTCTACTGTTCTGTGTGACTTTGAGCTGGTTGCTCAGCATCTCTGGGTCTCAGTTTTCTCATCTAATAAGTGATGGGGGTGGACTGGATAATCTCACCAACTCTTCTGATTTTCTCTATTCTGCTTGTCTGTTCTGCTTGAGGAAAAGTTCTTCCCAAGCTGGTTTATGGCTTTTATTTTCAAAACAACATGAGAAGAAACTCCCACTCAGAGTTGAGGTGACAGCTGGTTTCCTGGTGAGTGATGGGGGAACAGACCTCTGGGTGCACTTGATCACCTCCCTGTCTCCTTTTTCTCTGCATCAACACCCTAATGTTCGGATCTGATCACTTGGGTTCACATGGGCTTACTAGACAACAGCTGAACCTAATTCCCAGAGAGGTAAACTGCTGAGGTCTTTTATTTTATTTGTTTAATTTTTGAGACAGAGTCACACTCCGTTGCCCGGGCCAGAATGCCATGGTGTCAGCCTAGCTCACAGCAACCTCATGCATGGCAATCGCCCTAGCTCACAGCAACCTCAAACTTCTGGGCTCAGAC